ACCTCGGCCTCTCCAGATTTGGCGACGGTATCTGGACTTGCTTGTATGTTGGCGTCTTGACTTCAGTGGATCTCGGAGCCCCCGGGGTGGATGGGAACGTCCGACCAGGGGTTAGGGGGAGATGGAGGAGGCGGGGTTCGGAGCCAACAGGGGCATGCAGGTTGCATTGCTTCATTTATCGGGGGGGGGGGGGGGCGGTGCTAGAGTAAAACGATGGCTTCGCCGACGCGCAGTCCCCGCTCTCGGAGCTGCACTGCTGGAATGTACGCGCTACTCGGGACCTCGCATCTCCCTGTCTGGTATCGCAGGCCTTGGAGTTGATCGCCGCAACGAGGCTGCGTCGTCGGGCTTCTACTCCATTGGCGGGTTCTGGGTTCTCATGTGCCTTGGGAAGTGGATTCGAGTGATTCTGAATAATCTCGTTCAGAAAGCCCTGCAGAGCGACCTGGGGGCGATGATGGTGACCCCCCAACAGTGCGAGGATCTGGGCTCTCACCTGTCGCGTCTGCGCCGCGTGCCGCCGCCGGGCCGAGGCGCGTTGCGCGAGGGTGTGCGCGCGACTGCGTGGTCGAGCGCTCAATTCTTCCTGACCTGGAAATTGTTCCCGCGCGCCAAGAGTTACCCGTCGGGCGCTTGAGCTGGCGCCGGCAGATTGCGCGCGTTCCCGGCAGTCGCCAGCAGCTCTAGTGTGCGGTGTTCGGCCGTTCGCCAGCGCTTGGGTTTGACAGATGCAGGCCTGCGTTGCAGGGTCGTCTGACAAAGCGAGCGCCCCCGCGGGCTCGTCGCGCTCGGGGGGATTTCCAGGGGGCTTGGGAGACTTTAGGGGAAGGGGACCTTGTCGTGGAAGAGCTCTCGGAGAGCCCCCGTAGGTTCGCGGGCCCCGAGATGGCGCCCGACTTCGCCAAGACTGGCTTCGGAGTATTTCGATCGGCTCAGGTTCGCCCCCCCTCCAGGAAGTTCTCGGCCCTCCTGCTCGAGGGGCCCCGTCGGGATTTGAAGTGCGCGTGGGTGGCGGGGGATGGTGGTGGTGGTGGGTGGTGGTGGGGGTGGGTGGGGGGGGGGGCGAGGCAGGATTCCGTGTGAAACGTGACCTCCTTAACCATCTCCGGGCGCAACATCGCGTCCGAAATGCCGGTTGCGTGTTGTCGCGCACGTGCCGGCGCGTGGTCTGTCACGCGGTGCTGAGCGCAAGAGCGGTCGCTGGTCGCCACCTTTTTCGTTCTCTGATTCGGGGAAATTGTCTTTCCCATGGGGCTCGAAAGTTTCATGGGCAAATGTCGCCTGAAAGCCTGGCGCGCCGATTGCGTGGCGGTGGGCGCGCTGACTTGAGCCACCTCGGTAGCCATCTGGTTCAGCGCCGACCAAGAGTGGTGCTACCTCGGCTACCCCCCCTCCGTCAGCGCGGCGGCGGCGGCGGCAATGTGGCACTGGAGGGGCAGCCTGCCCGGCTGGCGGCCCGGCGCACTCGCGGAGCCGCCGCCGTTCAAGAATTGTCGGGCCGAGGGCGCGGAAGGCGGGGGCGACGAGGGCCTCCACGAGACAGCCAAGACGACGGGGCGCCTAGTGTTGGCGGGTGGCCGCGAGAGATCCAGGACGCGGCTGCCGTCGCGTTCAAAGAGTACGAGGTCAGGATGGGGTGGCTGGTCAGGGCCTCAGGAGGCAAAGGGTAGAGCGTGCGACGTGCAGTCGAGGGTGCCGCGCGAAAAAGGTGCAATCCGGCGAGCAGGCGGGCTCCGTGCGCAGAGGCTCCCCGAGCGCTGCGATCTTCGCGGCGTCGGTGATGAGGTGAGGCGCAGAGGGCAACTCCAGAAACAAAGAGCTGGAGCAGGGCTTCGCGGGCACGTGGAAGGAGGTGATCATGGCCCACTCTCTTCAGCAGCTGGCAGCCATCGTTTCATTCTTCCGTTGGACGGCGCACAAGGGGAAGCCCGACACAGGGCCAGGGCAAGGGCAAGGGCGACCAGCAGAAGCAGACGGATTTTGAAACGGACAAGGGCTTTACCATGCATGCAGTGGAGCTCTCCCGCGCGGGCGGGGCCAAGCTGGTGGCCCTCCTCGGCGAAACGATGATAGACGGGAAGGCAGGTTCAGCTCCTCCAGGACCGCTGCATCGTCAGTTCTCGAAGATCATCAACGCGATGTGAGCTATTGTGATCCTGGTCAGACGACGCTCGAGGTGAGGAGTTCGGTTGAGGATGAGTCCACGCCCGTAGTCCAGAATTTGTTGTTGAGGTCGGCACGTTTCGATTGGCCTCAGGGCGACAGGTTTGAGGCTTCGCAGGCTGCTGGCTCCCTCCCGCTGAGACCGCCTAGTCCGACCGCGCGTCCGACGACAGCACTTTCCCCCCGACAGGCGCCACGAGGGCGCGGTCGGGGCTCCCGCGGGAGAGGTCGTTCCCAGCCCCCTCGGAGGCGCCCCTCCTGGGCGAAATTCTCTACGTGAGGGGCCTGCCTCTTCTTGGGGCGGTTCGTCAGGAGGCGGGCCATGACTGCGGCCCCCCCTCTGCTCGGCTGCTCGTAAGGCGGTGTCTGGCCTTCGGGCTCCGTCGTGCGAGAGACTTCATGGAGGGGGTGGGTTCGTAGTCCGGTTCTACCGCTACGACGTGCGTGTGCGTGGCCCCGCGCGCTTTAAACTGGCGTCCGAAACGGTTCCGCCCTCAGGATCTGAACTTCGCTGACATTTCTTATTGTTTAGATGCCACGGTGATGAGGGATCCCACAAGCATGTCTGTGTGTCTGTCTCCTCCTCTTCCACCTCCTCGTCTTCCTCCCCCTTTTTTTCTTCCTCGAGGGGAAGAGGAGGAGGAGGAGGAGGAGGAGGAGGAGGAGGAGGAGGAGGAAGAGGAGGAGGAGGAGGAGGAAGAAGAAGAGGCGGAATTTGTTTGTTTGGAGTGCGGGGGGAGGGCGAGCTCTCGAGGAGCACTTGCAGCCTCCTCTTGCCATGGCATCCCCGTCGTCGCCGCGACTGCACACCACTCCCACGTTCTGTCGATGGGCTCGAGACCTTCTGGAACCGTGGTGTGGTGTTGAAAGTGCGCGGCGTTCGGGACCGTTCGAAGTCAGCACCTGGAAAAAAAAAAAACGTGTCCCGAGCACCCGTGTATTTCGGATGCTGAGAAGTCCCTGACCATGCTGCTCGCAGGTAAGGACCCCAACTCCCGTGCGGTGTTCGACCGCAGCACCCATGTGCGGCACGAGGGGTAACAGTTCTTGATTTTTGCTAAACCTCTTGCGACTGTGCGGGGGTCCTATGCTGCATTCAAGTGGTTCAACAAGAGGAGGAGGAGGACGAGGAGGAGGAGGAAAAGGAGGAGGAGGAGGAAGAGGAGGAGGAGGAGGAGGAGGAGGAGGAGGATGAGGCGGAGGAGGAACAGGATCTATTCGGAGGAGGACGAGGAGGAGGAAAAGGAGGAGGAGGAAGAGGACGAGGAGGAGGAGAAGGAGGAGGCGAAAACCCACCCCAGACGAGATTTTCCGTGCTCCAGCCTAGAGCGCCCTGGGCGACGAAGGCGGCGACGCTGGCAGTGGGCGGCGGCGTCGGCCTTGGCGCGCCAGCCCGCGACGCGGCGGCGACGATCTCCCCGACGTCGCGGACCCGGAGAGCCCATAAACCCAGGGTGCGTGCGCGGCGAGAAAACATTGGTTTGGTAGATACTTCCTGCTCTTTCTGCTCCCTCTTGCTCTTCCTTTTCCTTCTGCTCCTCCCCCTCCTCCTCCCTCCTGCTCCTCTCCTCTCTCCTGGTCCTTCTCCGTCTCCTGCTCCTTTTTTTGTCCGCCTTCTCCGTCCTCCTCCCTCCTCCTCCTTCTCCGTCCCCCTGCTCTCAGGATCCGTCTCCGATGCGCTCATCCTGATCCTCCGTCCCTGGCTCCTCCTCCGTCCTCCTCCGTCACTTTCGCTGGCCTTATCCGTCCCATTCCCTCCTCCTCCTTCTCCTTCTCCTCTTTCTTCTCTTCCTCCTCTTCTTTCACCTCCTCCTTCTCCCTCCGAGATTTGATACGTTTCACCTCCTCCTCCTCCTCCTCCTCCTCCTCCTCCATCCTTTTTCCGCATAGAGAAGCGGAGCACAAGCCGTTTTCAAAATGAAGCTTTCGCATTAGCTCCGCGCGTGTTCGCTTTCAAAATTGGGAACAGTTTTTGTTGACGATGGAGGGCGGTTCCTTTTCAGACTGTGCCCGTTGCCCCAGCGCCGCGTGCACTCGACTGAAAAACTTGTTGCGTCATCTTCGTGCAAGGATGGGGGTCGCGTGGAGCTCTCGCCCCCCAGCGCCGCGCACGTGCGCCTGCGCAGCTTGCAGCCGCTGCGTGGATGGAGCACGGGCCGTCTCCGACCTGTGATTCTTGTTTGGCCTCGGCGCTGCACGCGCGGGGGCCTCGGCTCCTCTCTCCGGCGTGGTGCCGTCGCTCTCGGGGCTTTCTCGAAGTGCCGTGGACGTGGTCGACTGTTGCACATGTTGGGGGGGGGTTCCTTTCCCGAGCGGGGATCTCCCGACGTTTCGTCTTATTCGAATAGGGCGCTTCAATTTCCCTTCTGGTGCAACTGCTCCTGCACCGATTCCGTGACACACGCATTTGCTTTAACAGTGCGGGACCAGGGTTTTTGTGATGGGCCTGGCGGGCTGTGCGAGGAGCGCATGTGATTGGAGAAAAACATTCCCAAGCGGGGATCTCGATGGACGCCGTGTTGATCTGTTATTCAAGCATTCCCTATTGTCGCTCGGAGGATCCAAGGTGGCTGCCTTTCAAAGCGGTTTTTTTCGACCGAGTGGCGGGCCCCTTGGGCGCTGTTTTTTCAAGGGGGGCGCCTCTCGCAGTGACAAAGAAGGCCTGCAGGAACCTGTGAGAAGGGCCTGGGACGGGAGGGTGCACTGAAGCACCGTTGGGGCATCTTGGGTTTACTTCCCTCCTCCTCCCTCCTGCTCCTCCTGCTCTTCCTGCTCCTCCTCGTGCTCCTCCCCTCTCCTGCCTTTGGGGTTGGGGGGGGGGGCGCGGCGCCGTCGAGGTGATCTGGAGGCTGGATGACGAGGGCGCCGGGCTCGTTTTCGCCGGGGTGTTGCACGCCGGGCCCCGCAGTTTGGGGTCCCGGAGCCGTGTGGTGACAGACCACGCGACGACCTCGAAGTCCCGAAGGTCCTCACCGCACGGTCCGCCACCGCACGGTTTTGGGACCTCGGAGGCGCCAGTCGCCCGAGGCGTCCTCGGAGAACGACCCAAGTCCCAAAACCGTGCGCTCACCACATGGTGTGGTCACCGCACCGTTTGGGGGCCCTCAGCGGTCCCGAAGACGTCTGGCGGCGACGATCGACGACAACGACGGCGACGACGGGAATGACGTCGACGGCGATGACGTCGACGACGACGTCGACGACAACGACGACAGCGTCGACGGCGACGGCGGCGAGTTCTTTTCGGAGCATTTTAATGTTTCTGTAGGTTCTCGTCGCTATGATTGGGCGCGGCTCGAAAAACTTGCTTGCTGGGGTGGACCTTGGGATGAGCCTGGGGACTGATTTTGAGCGGAGATTGGCAGCGAATTCGGCGACGGCGACCCGACAACGGCTACGGCGATGACGACTTGGCGTCGCGTACTGGGGGCGCGATACATGGGGGGGGGGCAGCGAGGGCTGCAGACAAGGGGCCCTTTAGGGGCCCCTAAAGGGGCCCTTCAGGGTCTAAAGGGGGGCCTTCAGGGCCCGACAAAGTGCACCTTACTTCAGCACCCACCAAGCCACCCTAATTCCAACCCGAAGGCCCCATTTGTCCGCAATTCCCAGTGGGGGGGGCGTCGGGGAACATGGACAAAAACTCACATGGAACCCGCAACCCCTCCAACCCGAAATTTGGGTCTTCGGGTTGGGTTCGGGTGGTCTGATAGGTAGTCATCTTCCCCCCTAGTAAGCGACGCCCAAGACGACGGACACGGCGACGACGACCGAGGCGTTTTTGGACGTGCCTCTCCTTTCTGGCGCCTCCGTGAGGCATCCCGTCGCCGCGTTCTCCCCTCGACAGCCCCAGGGCTCATTTCGATTCCTCCGATTCGCTTCGATTCGATTTGATTTCGACGGCTTCCGATTCTGGTTCGATTCGACTTTTGATTCCGATTTGGATTCCGATGTCTCAATGGAGGCCTACGAGCCTGCCTATTTCCGCCTGTTCGACTTCTCCCGCCTCGGCTGCCGATCCCGCCGATCCGATTCATTTCCATCGCCAGTCCAACTTATCAATTCGATTCTGGGCTCTCCTGGAGACGGTTGCGGCGGCGACGACGGAAACGACGACAACGTCGGCGTCGGCGATCAAGTCGTCGCGCTCGCCAGCGGCGGCGGCGGCGGCGTCGTCGTCATCGTGTCGCAGGTTTTTTTGGGGGCTGTTTGCGTTTTCGGAGGTTCTCGTCGCCACGGCTGGACGCGGCTCGGAAGACAGGCCAACCTGGACCCCGGAGAGGGGGGGTCCATGGGCCGATTGGGAAGGCCCTGCAGGCCGGCGCCGCCGACCCTGAATGCGGGACCTCCCTCGGGACGCCCGCTGGCGAACCCCCACCCCCAGGCCCCTCCGGGACCACGGGGGGTGCAGGAGGAGGGGGAGGAGGAGGAGGAGGAGGAGGAGGAGGAGGAGGAGGAGGAGGAGGAGGAGGAGGAGGAGGAGGAGGAGGAGGAGGAGGAGGAGGAGGAGGAGGAGGAGGAGGAGGAGGAGGGGGGCGGTATTCGGACCCGGGACCCCCCCACCGCAGGGAAGAGATGAAAGGAGAGGGGCTCTTCGACCCAACTAACTGACTAGCTACGACGCTCGACTCGACTACAGCGTTGCTCGATCTCCTGTGACTGGAGCGCTTGAGGTGGAGCGGTCACGCTGGCGGCGCTCTGGCAGACGGAAAAGCCTCTCAGAAACGCCGACAGGGTCGGGGGATTTTGAGAGTGGACGACGGCCGACGACGACGACGGCCGACGGCCGACGGCGACGACGACGACGACGACGACGACGACTGCGGCGACGGCGATGACGATGCGTCATCGTCCTCGTCGTCATTCTCGTCGTCGTCGTCGTCCGCCCGCTCCGCGATTGAGCTGGGCGCCCGGTCGCTTTCTGGGAGATCTAGCCTCTGCGAGATCCGACCTCCCCTTACTCCTCCTCCACCTCCTCCTCCTCCTCATCCTCCTCCTCCTCCTCCTCCTCCTCCACCTCCTCCTCCTCCCCCTCCTGCTCATTTTCTATCTCGTGCCGTGGAAGAAGCTGGGAGGCTGAAGTGAGGCGCCATTGGTTCCAGCGCAACGGCCAGGGTGTGTAGGCACATCGGTCTACAGTGTCATCATCATAGTATTGCCACACCCGCTGCGCAGCAACAGTGAGATCTCTCCCCGATAGAACGATGGTGCGAGTCGTCCTGCCGTTCCCTCTGGGGGAAGGATCGGGGGCCTGCCTCCCGTGTGGGGGACGGCCCAGGAATGTGCCCTGAGGAGGCTTCAGACCCCAGGGGATTCTCTGTGTGACGAGGGCGGCAGCGATATCCACTTGCGATCCCCGACTGGACTCCCACCGGCTTCCGGGCCCGGGATCACGCCCTGCGGCGCGACAGCGAGGCACTATAGTGGCCTGTCGGCTCCCGAGTGTAGTATACGTACTTATCACGAGCAGGTGAATATCTCACGAAGTGGTCCTCTATGCTGCCTAACTAAAGAATAAGACTGCTCATCCAGCGCCCTCACCGCGGCTTGGAGCACGTGGCCTCCGGCGCTGGGCCGCCCAGCGTTGCCGCCTCGCCAGCGGTGGCCGGCTTCGCCGCCCGGGCGAAGGCCGAGCAGCGCGGGCGAGCCGCCATTGGCGCGGCGCGCCGAGCCCCGGCTCGGTGTTGCCGCCGATTGCTGCCTGCTTGCGAATCTTGGTTCCTTTGTGGGTGCGTCGGCAAAGCACGCCCTCACCGTATTCCGAAATTCTAGACGCTTCGCGCATCCCCTCTAGCCAATTTGCGCGTTGCCCTGGCTCAGCCCCCGGCAGCCGCAGCCTGCACCCCCACCCGCCGGCCCTGCCCGCCGTGGTGATGCCTGAGGCCCCGCCGCTTTAGGTAATTCGTCTTTGTGCGGCCCGCTCTGACTCGACTCGCCGTTTGCGCTTGCTCTTGCGGCTGCTGACTAGAACGTATCCCCACCAGCTCTGCGCTTACTTGCTGGTCGCCACCGGGATTTCCACGCCACCGGGTTTGGGAGTACCGGTTCTGGCTCTCCTTCTGAGTGGCTGCCCCCTCGCTCGCTGCGCTTGCCTTTCTTTTCCTGCTGCCTAGTCGCGGCCCGACTAGTGTTCGGACGGCTTTCGACCCTCCTCGCGAGCCTGTTGACCAAAAAGTATCCCCACCAACCCATCCAGAAACGATGTCCTGGCGAGTTGAGGTGATCAGGGAAGTGAAGGAGCAAAGAGTTGGACGGCCGAACCGTGCGAAGGAGGGAGGAGGAGAAGGAGGAGGCTGGATGGATGGATGAGGGAGTGGGGAGAAGGACGATTAATGGGATGATGCTGCTGATGATGATGATGCTGCTGATGATGATGATGATGTTGTTGATGATGATGATGATGATGATGATGATGATGATGCGGATAATGATGATGGTGGTGATGATGGTGATGATGAGGATGCGGATGGTTATGATGATGTGGTTGTTGATGGTGGATGATGCTGATGAGGAGGAAGAGAAGGAGTATGAGGAGGAAGGAAGTGCAGGAGGAGGAGGAGGAGGACACGCAAAAGGGCTACAGGTCTCTTGGATGCCTCTCGGAGCCTCTTGGTATATCTCTTGGGCACTTCTTGGAGGCCTCTTGGGACGTCTTGGGGGTCTCTCGGCGGTCCTGGGGGGCTCTTGGGCGTCTTTGGTTCCTGGGGGGGGCCTCTTGGGGGCGCTTGGGGTCCTCTGGGGGGCCTCTTGGGGGCCTCTTGGGACCATCTTGGAGCCATCGTGGGGCCATCTTGGGACCTCTTGGTGCCTCCTCGGCGCCTCTTGGGGCCATCTTGGAGGAGGTCAATCAAAGAAGGCGGGAGCTTGAATTTGCCTCCCCCCTCCAAGAAATGTAAGAATGGGCTCCAAAGCTTAGTAAAACCAGTGATTCTGGCTTCCTCGCCGAGGCGCATTGGCGCTCCCACACCCCGACCGCACACCGTCCGGTGCAGGGGAGGGGGTAACGGGGGAGGGGTAGAACCCCTCCCCAAGGGGAAAGAGGGAGAGCAGCATTTTGAAAACAAACACAAGCGAAAACCCGTTTCCCGGGAATCCTGTGTGTAAAAAACAATACGCGGGGGGGTGTCGGATATCTTCGGGACGCCATCAGGGGAAGTGGGAGAGTATTTTCATATTGTGTAATTGTGGAGGGGCAGACCCCTCCCCCGAAGGGGGAGAGGGAGGGGGCGGACGAGGCAACGCTCGAAGCCACCCACGCCCCGGGGGGCCGGTGGGACTACCACGGCCACGCGGCTGCCGTCCCTGGCCCGCAGCGGCGGCGGTGGAGCATTTGGCTCAAGGAAGCGTCAGAGGACGTTTTTTTTTTTTTTTTTTTTTTTTTTTTTTTTTTTTTTTTTTTTTTTTTTTTTTTTTTTTTTGTTTTTTTTGTTGGGGGGAGGGGGGGGTATTTTTTGATATGTCTTGATTTTGTCGAGTATTTCGTTTAAGCATTTTTCGTCGAAGCTCGGCCCGTAGGGGGACATGCCCGACCGAACATTTAGGCCCACCAGAGAGGCATCGTGGGAGGAGGATCGAGGCTCCCGGTTTCAGATGTTCGGGCGCGGGGACCCGAGAAGGAGAGGGCCTCCTCAGAAGGCGGCGGGACTTCCGAGGAGCCCTCGCGCCCTCCGGGAGGTTTGCTGCGTCCTCGGGGAGGCTCGGAGCACCTCCTCGGCAGGCCCGGGGGGGCCCCCGAGCCTTCCGAGAAGACTCGCCCCCGCCTCCCGTCCTCCCCGGGCTCTCGCCGCCGCTTCAGGCCTGGGACTCTCTCTCTCGGGTGCTCTCTCTCTCTCTCTCTCTCTTTCTGGTTCTCGGCGGTTACTCCTGGTCCTCCTCCTCCTCCTTTTCCTCCTCCTCCTGCTCCTGCTCCTCCTCCTCCTCCTCCTCCTCCTCCTCCTCCTCCTCCTCCTCCTCCTCCTCCTCCTCCTCCTCCTCCCCCTCCTCGTCCTCCTCCTCCTAATACTTCTCCTCCTCCACCTCCTCCTCCTCCTCCTCCTCCTCCTCCTCCTCCTCTTTCTCCTCCTCCTCTTCCTCCTCCTCCCCCTCCTCCTCCGCCTGTTCCTCCTCCTCCTCCTCCCTTTCTCCTCCTCCTTTCCCCTTCTCGGGGCGCCTTCCAGCGGCTGCCTCTCGCCGAGAGCACCCCAGGGGTGCTGGAGTCGCCCCCGACGTCCACCGCAGGGCCCGAGCCATGGCGCGAAGGCCTTTTCGGGTCAGGGGCAACGTCAGGGGGGGCTGGGCTCGGGGGGGGGGGGGGGGGGGCCGAGAGGCGTCGACCCTGCGTCGCCCACCCGTCCCCGATCCGGGTCCATGTGTTTCACCCTGCCCCGGGGGCGTGCGAGCTTCGGCATCGGGGGCATCTGCCGCCGGCCTCTCGGAGGTGCATCGCCGAGTCCAAGCCGACGCCTCCCCCCGCAGCCGGCCTCCCCGTCCGTGCTCGGGCGCCTCCAGGTGCATCCCGCAGGCCCCGCGGCCCAGGAGTCAGCTCGGCGAGCTCCTGCGCTGGTCGCTCCTTCGCCTCCTGCTCTCTCTCTGTCCCCGCCTTTCCTCCCTTTTCTCAGTCTTCTTCCTCCTCGAAGGTGAGTGCGCGCGATGCTCACGCGAGGGCCACATCCCGAAAACGAGAGCAGGTCTCCAGTGAAGCTGTTGGATACAGGGCTGGACCTGAACGCTGTTTTGCTGGACTTCGACCGTGTTCTGCTTTTCGGTTTGTCAGGGAGGCGCAGGATAACAGGCGGAGCACACCGGAGCACGGAACGAGCACAGAGCGAGCACGCCTCGTTCAGAGGCCCAAGCTGTTGGATGCGCTTGCAGACGCGGGCGTCCAGCGCCAAGGCTCACCGCCGACCAAATCACCCCAACCCAACCCGAAGGCCTCAATTTGCCCTCCATTTCCAGTGGGGGGGGGGTCGGGGAACATTGGAAAAACATATGGAACCCGTACCCCACCCAACCCGAAATTCGGGTCAAATTCGGGTCTTCTGGTTGGGTTGGGGTGGTTTGGTAGGTAGTCAAAGGCAGGAGCCGCGCCTCGCAGGCGCGAGCTGCCCCACCCACCCGCGTGCACACGCACAGCTGCCCGGCTCCCCCGGGCGGCCCGTGCGCTCCGCGGCCCCGCGAGGGGGCCGGCCCCCCGGGAGAGCGCCGCCCGCCCGCCCCGCCCGTGCAGCCGCCAGAGGAGGGGCCCCGAGCCCAAAGCGCCCCGCCCGCCCTGCGCAGCACGCCCGCCCAGGCCCCCCCCCCACCCCCAACTCGTCGTCCTCCTCCTCCTCCTCCTCCTCCTCCGTCCTCCTTGTTGTTCTCTCTCCTCCTCCGCCCACCTCCTACCTCCTCCTACTCCCTCCTCCATTGTTGATCTCCTTGTTGTTCTCCACTCCTCTCGTTCCTCCTCCTCACCGTCCTCCTCTCACCTCCTCCTCCTCCTCCTCCTCCTCCTCCTCCCTCCTCTCCTCCACCTCTTCCTCCTCCTCCTCCTCCCATCCCCCCCCCGTCCAAGCTTATGGGATTCGGAGCTTGGCCCTGTTTCTCCCCCCTTCCACCACCGCCACCATAAGTTGGACGGGAGGGGGAAGGGGAGTGGAGGAGAGGAAGGGAGGAGGAGAGGAGGAGGAGGAGGAGGAGAGTGAGGAGGAGGAAGGAGCGAGGAGCAAGATAGAAGGAGAGCGAGCGGAGGAGGAGGAGGAGGAGGAGGAGGAGGAGGAGGAGGAGGAGGAGGAGGAGGAGGAGGAGGAGGAGGAGGAGTAGGAGGCCCCCCCCCCTCCAACTTATGGTGGTGTCGGTGGTGGTGGAAACAGGGCCATCAACGGGAGGTCTTTCGCTCCTTTCAGCCTCTGGGGGCCCTTGCTGGCCCTCGGGGCCGTCTAAAAAAAACAACTCAGGATGAGAGAAGCCGGTCCCCGAGAAGGGGGACCAGTTTCGCGAGGGCCACGTCTGACAACAAAATCACGACGTCGGGGGTCTGGGCTTGTGGTGCGGCGGCGATCCTCCCAGATGGGGTCGGAGCCAGTGGGTTCGGAGGATCGTGCCGCATCTCCGATGCACCGATGATGTTGCTCGATGTAGAGCCAGAGTGTCTCTGCGCCGACGTCTTCGATTCACCGCCGATGCATCGCCGATGCATCGCCGAAGCATCGGCGACGCGGCGCAGTCCTCCGACACCACCTGTTCGGACCCCATCCAGGAGGCCGCTCTGGGGTCTGTGTATAGCAGCGGAGGGGGCGGAAGGGTGGTGGAGGAGGAGGAGGAGGAGGAGGAGGAGGAGGAGGAGGAGGAGGAGCAAGAGCAGGAGGAGGAGGAGGAGGAGAACGAGGCGACCCTGATCGATCTGCAGAGAAATGACCGCTGAGGTGCCGGCTTTCCCCCCTCGGCGTTCCTGATATCGTTGGCGATCTTTACCATCCCCATCGGCCTGGGCCTGCTCCTGCAGCGGATCTGCACCCCCGCGACCCTCCGAAAAGCCTTCGCCGTTGGCCTCGCCGCGGGGATCGCGTTCGTATTGCTTTCGGCGTCGGTCTACATGGCCGACGAGACGTCGAGGGCGTCGATCGCAGCTATGGGCAGCCCGGCGGTGTTCCTGCTGGCCTTCGTCCTCAACGGCGTGGGGCTCCTACAGGTCAGACTTGTTTCATGGTCTGAAGGCGAGAACCCACCCCCGCCACCCCAGTCCCGACTCCCACCCCGCGATTCGGCGATCCAGTGAGAGTCGGGGAGGGGGGGTGGGGGTGTTATCTGGCCGCTTGGACCCCGAATAAGCCATCCCCACCTCCAGTCCCAACCCCCTAAATCGCTGGTTCGGGAGTTGGGTCAGGACTGGGGGTGGGGGTGATTTTCGCCTTCACATATGATGGAAGCCTTGGATTTCACCGAAGGTTTGCCTTGTTGGCGTTTCGCGGTCACCAACGGTGAGTATGGGGTGATTGGTGGACGGTTCGTGCGGAGTGTGCGTCATTCTTTGCCGCTCATCGGTTGCCTCCATGTTTTCGCTATGTGCCGCTGACCTGCTGACATCCTGACTACGTAAGATGGGCTTCCATAAGCACGAGCGTAAGCCGCCTGCGTCACCCATACACACCGATACCATGTGCTCGGCTCGCCACGCGAGGGCGACGCGCGCGCCATGAAACCGTATAGGATATGCTCGGTGTCGGGCGCTTTCTTGCCATGCTGCTCGGGCAACGGTGTACTACAAGATTTTGTATTCTTCGAAGAAGAATGCACGCCGTAAACATAAACTTTTGGCGCTGAGCGCGGTTTTCTTGGATCCGCGCTGGGCCCTCCTGGCGGCGCCTCCAGCGCCGCCCCTGGCGCGATCCGCGCGCCAGGGAAGGGTGTCCAGCGCGGATCCACGAAATCCGAGCAGAGCGCCAAAAGCGTATGTTTCTGCCAGATGTTCCCCTTCATGTTGTGTGCTCGGGTCGGATGTGCGTCTCCACCGGAGAGGCACCCCGTACCGATAACGTCCCTACAGGCGGCCTGGATTAGTAGGTCGACCCTGCCAGCTCAAGGGTACCCTCGTGTCCTGCATCTCGCGACCCATGCCTCCTACATTCCTATTGCAACGTGGCCCTTGGAAGGGTCTTGTGTCCTGTCGCGTGTCCTGTCCAATCAAGGCCGACTGTATGCGTTCCAGCCCAGGGCTACGCGGTCGGGTACCTGTGCGGTTTCTCCGAGGAGCACTGCCGCACGCTCACCTTCGAGGCCGCGCGTTCCGCCGCCCCCCCCATGGAGAGCGCGGCCGCCCCGCCGCCGCGGGTCCGCCCCTCGGAGGGCCCGCAGAGGCGCCGTCGGCTTCGGCGGCGGCGTCGTCGGCGGCGTCGTCGGCGGCATCGTCGGCGTCGGCGGCGGCGTCATCGGTGTCGGCGCCGTCCTCGTCGGCGGGGCGGAGGCGAGGCGGGGGGGCGATCGGATTCGGGCGGGGGTGACGTCCCTCCTCCAGGCTTTGCCCGTCTCCGCCCCCCCCGAAGAAGACGAAGCACGACATGACAACTTAGTATTGATAGAAATAAGAGTGATACGAAGAACCGTAATCGTCCAAATGATGCGAGTATTCACAACAATTTTAAGAGGCAGAAGACGAGACACCGGCACACGCACAAGCTCTCGGCGCTCCGCGCGGCTTTCTCGGATCGTCGCTGGATCCCCCCTGGCAGCGCCTCCCGGCACCGCCTCTGGTGCGCTCCGAGCGCATCATGGAGGGGATGGCTTTGGCGCCGACCCACGAAATCAGCGCGGACCTCCGAATGTTTATGTTCATGCACGTTTTCTTATTGTTTGTCTTATATGACCCCTCTTCGCCTTTCCTCGACTGTGCACCACTTGGCAGCTCGATAGTTTCATGCTGATGTTATCGTTATGAGTTTTTTGGCACCCAGACATGCGGCGTATTGATTTCTCAGCACGGCGTCCCTGGGAAAGTCCCGATCCTTTCCCTGGGGCCGGCTTTTCATTCTGAGCCGTTTCTCGACAGCAGTCGCAGGGCCTGGCGAGGGCCCGGTGGCCGAGACCGGCCAAAAAGGTCCCGCCGTGAGTTTTGTTCACGATGCGGGCAGGTCTGGTCAGGTCTCCAGCGCCCTCGCGAGCCATCGGGTGCAGCTTGCTGCGTGCAGAGACGAGGAGAGTCGGAGGTGGATAGACCTCCTACCCTGACACGTCGATTAGTGAATTGGCCGTTTTCGGTTCGCGAGAGGGCGTCGCGGCCGTCATTTTTGCGGCTCCAGGTCCGCCGGTTTCGGTCCCAGGCCGTTTTCACTAAGGGGAGGTTTGTCCACCACCGAGAGAGGGGGCGGGGGGCGGCGGGCGGCCTTGGTCGTGCCGCTGGGCGGAAGCCGGGCGGAAGCGAAGGCGGACTGCCCCCCAGAGGATCGAGGCTTCGAGGATCGAGAGGCTCGGAGGATCGATAGGCGTCGATGATCGAGCGACTTGGTGCCCCGAGGGAGGCGACGAGGAGGGCGAGGAGGACGAGGAGGGCGAGGAAGGCGAGGAGCAGGAGGAGGCGGAGGAGGAGGAGGAGGAGGAGGAGGAGGAGTGAGAGGAGGCGAGGACGGCGGAGGGAGGATGAAAGGGAAGGACAGGAGGAAAGAGGAGGAGGATGAGGAGGAAACGTGAGGCGGAGGCGTAGGCAGGAGGAGGGAGGCGGCGGCGGAACGAGGCGGAGGGAGGCGAGGGCGGGGCGCGGCGGACGTAGGCGGTGACTGCGAGGCGGCGGCCGAGGATGAAGCTTGAAACTGCTGACAACGCGGATCTCTTGTGCTACGCTGGGCACAAGCTGCTGATGCTGCACGCAGCTGCAGCACCGCAGATTCAGATGATGATGATGATGCAGACTGATCAGATGCGACTGCTAGCAGCAGCTGCAGCAGCAGCCGCAGCAGCAGCTGCTGTCTGGCAATCTGCGTCGTACGGCGGCTGGGCTGCGGCGGCACGGCTTTCGGCTGGCTGTGCTTCGGCTTATGCGTGGTTGGAAACGGCGGCGCGCGTAATCATGCCGCCGCCCGCGCCCTACGCTGCCCCTGGCCTTCGTGGGGCAGACGCATGCGTGGTGGGGCGTGGGGCGCGCAGGGCGCGGCGGGCACCTGCTCGGGGCCCGCGCCGCGGGGTGCAGCGCGGAGGGTCTGCACGCCCAGAGTGCAGGTCGCGTATCTCGGGGAGCCTCTTGGGGCCTCTTGGGGATCTCTTGGGAGTCTCTTGGAGGCCTCTTGGGCGCCTCTTGGGGCGTCTTGGGGCTCTCTTGGGGCCGCAGTTTGGGGCTCGAGAAGGGTTTTGGCCTTTCTCGGTCCCGGGGGGCCCTTGCAGGCCCCGGGCCCGTCAGAAACGGATCGGCGGTGAAGACCTGCACCAGATGGACCCAAGGAGGTGTCCGGGGACCGATTTGGAGCGAATCTGGCATCATCATTCCCCCTCCTGACCGACTTAGCTGCCTCGATACGCCCGTTTTGAAGCGCAGCACGTACCGTGCTCAAAACGTCTGTGTTGATACGCTACATGCTGGCTTAACGTACTTTGGCCCACGTTTTGGCGAATGGATCGCGCCAAACGTACGTTTTCAATCTACGTGTTGAGCTCCTTTTCAACACGCTGCGGGTTGCGTGTTGCGTGTTGCGTGTGGCGTATCGGGGCGGCTGAGGACGGAACGTATGAGGCGTTCCAATAAGGGCCTCGCTTTCGTGGGCCGAAGGAGTTGCCATCTCATCGGTGGAAGGCGGCGGAGGGGCGGCGGAAGGCGGTGTAAGTAACACGAGGCCGCCTCCGCCGGCGGAAGCCGGCGGAAGGCCAGCGGAAGCGGGCGGAAGCAAAAGTCCAAAGTCGATTTCCCAAGAGATGAGAATCTTTTAGGGTTCAGGGTTTCTGGAATCCGCCATATAGCCCATCAGCAGTGCTCGTTCATGCGGAGCAGGCAGGGTTCGTTGTCCTGGAGGTAGCGAAGAATCACGACAGAATATTTTTCGCTGTTTTCGGTCTCCGGGGGCCCTTCCCGGACCTCGTGGCCGTCAAGAAACGACTCCGGGCGAAAGCCGGTCCCAGGGAAGGGGTCCAGACCTTTGGGGGTCGACGTTGTGAAACAAAAATCCCGACGTCGGGGGGATCTGGGGACTGGTCCGAGCAGACGACGTCGGAGGATCGCGACGCAGCGCGCCGACGCATCCGCGAGGCGGCTCGCTGTAGTGCCCGAGCTTCCCCGCGCCGACGTCGCCGATGCATCGATGAGGCATCGACGGTGCGGCGCGATGCTTGGACGCCCCTCATGCTCGGGCCCCATCAGGGAGGTCTCTAGACTTAGGTCGGCCTGTCCCCCTACAGGGGGAGCATCCAAAAACAGTCAAAAAATAGTCGGGGGACTATTGTTTGAGTGCTTCCTGACCATTCTGGAGTTCTTCTTTTCGTATTTTTTTGGTTTCGTCGACAATCCCCCTAGAGGGGGGACACGCCCGACTTGACTCTAGACCCGGTCTCCCTCCATCGCCGCGCCCAGGCCCCCTCGGGTAGCGAGGAGGATCCTGGCGGGAGGTGCTCTGCTGCCCCCGGCCTCTGGGGGCCCGTTGCCGGCCCTCGGGGCCGTCCACAGGACAGCTCCGGAGGAGGCACCGGTCCCGGGAGACGGGTCGAGAATTGTGAGCGTTTTTTGATGCATTCTTTTGCCGATCGGCGCGGGCCCTCGCGCCCTTTCCCCTTCCCCCCCCCGCCGTGGAGTAGCTCTTGGCTGCTCTTGGCGCCCGTTTCGAGCAGGTGGGGTCCCTCCCCCATGATGGGCGCACTGCTGCAGACCGCCGCACTCAGCAGAGGTCTGGAGCCAGACCTCCCCCCCTCCCCCCCCCCTTCCGCCCCATGCCGAAACGCCGAATAACAAGCGCGGCGTCGAGGCCCGAGCGATGGGGAGGGCTGCGTGCCGCTGTTTTGGTGCCTGCTGCCGCCGACTCTTGCCCTCTCTCTCTCTCTCTC